ACTTCACATTACACATATTATCATTGCATCCAAATCACATTGTTTTCCATAGCTTTCTAGAGCCAATTTGTGTGAAGGTTGAGTTGTTCTTGAGCGTACTTAGTTTACTCATCATCTACTCTTAAAGAGAGTCTTGTTCTTGAGTGTTTAGTGTTGTATACACGTTAAGGGAAGCTTGTTTCCCTTGGTTGTACAAAGGAAAGGTATTTTCCTTCGGGTTGAAGTCTTGGAGTGCGGTATCTCCGAGCAAGTGTTGTTGAGGCTCGTGGGACTCGAGTTCTCAGGTTGTAACGGTTTGTTAAGCACCCGTAAGCTTAACGGAAGTAGTGTAGCTCGAGAGAGTCTCTCGGGAGACTGGATTAGCCACACGTTGTGGTGAACCAGTATAAATCTTGGTGTGCTCCCTTTACGCTTTCTACGCTCTTTACTTTTCACGTTCTTAATTTTTTATTCTTGCGATTTCTGCGATCAAACGCTATTCAGCCCCCCCCCTTAGCGTTGGTCACTTATTCTAACAACCAAAATGCCCTTTTTGCAAAATTATATTCAAAAGGCCATTAAAATTCTGAAACAATTTTGCAAAAATCATGAAAATTGAATTTCAACTTCCAGTAATTATTTTCAACATTTATAAACCTGGAAATAAAATTTCCAAAATTTATAAATCATTATTTCCAAAATATATTAGTTAAATCTCAATAAGTTATAAAAAGCCATTTAAATTGATTTCGAAAATATTAAATTGCAAAAATTTAATATTTTGAAAAACATTCTTTTTCTTACTGAGATATAACTTTCCAAAATATATATTAGTCATTTATTTAATTAAAATACAAATATATAAATATATATAATATTTCGGTAATAAAACCGAGTACATATATAAATATATATTTATTTAATTACTAAATAATATTATTTTGAACAATATATTTATCAACAACCTTATTCAACTTAGAAATAATATTTCCAAGTTTAATAAAGTTCATTTTGAATTTTCCATATTTATTTTCGGTTTTCACCTAAATAAATACAATAAATTTAAAATAGGAAATAATGCATTCAAAAATTACAATATAATTTTATCAATCATAAAATGATGTTTTATGTCCAAATAAAATTATATTTACTATTTCTACAATACATATAAATATATATTTCGAAAAATCAAAATATATATATTTATATATATTACGTGTAGAAATAAAACAAATAAATTTAAAATTCATTTTCATTGATTTATTTAAGTCCAATACTTATTCCAAGACTAAATAAAATCATTTTACCAATTTTTGAATTTTAATAATTACCAAGTTAAAACTTTGACTTTTAAAATTTTAAAAGTCAAACGTAAAACTATAGTTTTGTACGTTGGCTTTGATACCACTGAAAGGTAACCATGCAAGGATAGGCAGCAGAATATAAAGATTATAACATCCTAACATGATTATCTTGCCCAGAATCACGTACTAAAACTTATAGTGAATAAGAAATTTATACCTTTCTCCGTAAGCGGTAAAAACGAAGAAGTCGTAGGAAGAGCGTTGAAAGTGCAAACATAACCGTTCAAGCGTCCGGTCTCCAACTTTGACACACGAACAACGCCGGAGTCTACCACAATCTTTATGCTAGTAAAGATTATAGTAGTATAAAATATAAAGATTAAAATTTGGGATAATAATAATCTTGTATATTTCTATAGAAAATATTTCTAATAATATTTAGAAAATATTATAGATATTTTCTATACACAAAATGATATTAATGGAACCAAACTAAT